ACGTCCTAGCAAACAACTATTATATCTGTGTCCGGTATACTTCCCACGTCATTTGAATTCTAAGAAGGTGTTTGTTTACAGTATATTTACGTTCTTTTTAAGTAGGAAAGTGATGTAAAGTGCATGAACAAATCGCAGCTTGTCTCTCGTATTTAGGTTCCTAGTTGTATTCAAAGTGGTAGAAAAAACCAAAAATGTGTTAAGGGTGCACATGAGTTTAGGCACAGAAACTGTGATCGACAAAATCAACTTTGATTGAGCCATAATTACCTTCCAATAATCAATAGGAAAACGTATTCGTTTTCTATCTACATAATCACTGATAAGATTTCTTTGACATTTCAGGCTTGCTATGCAGCTCAAGCCATGGGATATTTGACAAGGAAACCCGCTGTATGCCTGGTGGTATCTGGACCAGGCCTTCTTCATGCTATCGGGGGTCTTGCCAATGCAACTGTGAATTGCTGGTGAGATTTACACTACTAGTTGTTTCACCTACATTTCATCATATGTAATCACATCCACGCGTTATATGTGAATTTTGAGAAAAAAATTCAAATCAGATAACTAGCAAATGAAATGATTAAACCAAAAGATCTCTGCTTGTAGCCAACAGAATATTATTTTAGAGAGTTTCTTCAAATTGCACACTTTTATTTACCATTAGTCCATTACAACTTCGTTTATAGGCCTGTAATTTGTATTGGCGGTTCGTCGGACGTTGATCAGGAGAATAGAGGAGCTTTCCAAGAGTGGCCGCAAGTGGAATCAGCACGTCTTTCTTGCAAGCACGTTAGTCGTCCGACAACATTGCAAGCTATCCCCCTGCATGTCGAAAAGGTAAAGTTCGAAGCTTCCCCTCACAAAAAGTTAGAAAAATCAAAGCGTGTTAAGATTGTTCATTCATTTTTGCTTGTAGGCAGTAAGGGAATGCATGTACGGTCGTCCTGGAGCTGTATATATTGACATGCCAGGCAACTTAGTTCTATCTAATATAGAAGAAGATGAATTACCGTAAGATTTAAGGTATTAAAGGGATGACATGGTCCCATCTTACTGCTTTAGAAAAGTTGCCAAGGTGACGCTACCACCTCCGGTCAG